TACTTAAAATAACAGATAAAATATAAAGTTTTTTCTTAAGAAACATTTGATAACTATCTGGATATTATAAAGATTTCGCTTGTGAAATTTGAAAATGTTCTGATGCATAAAAGTATTTTTAGCTTTAAAATGAAAATTACTTTACATGTTAGATAGGCAACATGCAAAATAAAAAAAAAAGCATGAGAAAAACATTGCTTTACAAACTTTAAGACTTAATAAAAAATATTGATATTTTGGATATGATAGCATTGTAATGTTTACTGATAATTTGCCAACTTTCGTTAACATACGCTTACTAATTTAAAAGTTAAAGCATGAAAACTATAACAAGCATGAAATGGTTAAGATGTTGGCCCCAGGGACTGAGCCCTTGCTGAAAGTTAATAAAATTACTAGTAGTGTTTAGTTTTAAGTTAAACAAAAACATCAAAAATTTTTACATTTTTATATTTTATTTTTTAAGAACATCAGTATTGTTTGTCAAGAATAATATATATATATATATACTTTTTGCACGTGTTTAGGAAAAAATTTTGTTTCCAACAATGAAAGAAGTGTTCAGCTAGCTTGCACATGATGTAGGCCTATAGCTGAAACTAGTTCTAGTTGTCTCTTTCAATATTTTATTGTTGATGTTTTTAGAGTGATAACATTTATTAGATATATATATATATATATAAAAATGGTTGTTTTAGAGTGTCATCAACAAAAACTTCAGCAGTTTTATACAGTAGTCTTGTCAAAATTTGTAGGGAGAAACTTTCAGAATGTATTAATCATATTATTTTCAGGTTGTTACAGGTTTTGTTCTAACTTGCATGTATGATACACTTTCATGTACAACAGTTTAAAATGAACAAAGCAACTTACTCTAAGGTAGTGTACCTGAAGACAGGATTTACTCAGGTTCTCACATATTTTTTTCTCAAATTTTTAAGGTAATTTTATGTTAATTCTAAGTATTTAAACAGTTTTAACTCAAATATTTTAAAATCAATATTTTGTGACATTCTTACACTTGATTAGTGTAATTCATGAAGAAAAAAGTTAATATCTTCTTCTGTACAGTTCCAGAGATTTACCTGTAAACAAAAAAACCAAAAGTTAATTCTTTTTAGAATTTCTTGCTCATCTCAAAGAATAACTATTTTTACTAAGAACCTGTCATCTCTTGAGAATATGTTACCCACTTCCTCATTTGTTATTTAATTATAGATTTATTTGATTTACAGAAAATCTGTGCGAGACTAATACATATCTGAAAAAAAAACAAGGCAATCACATGATGGTATTTAGTCAACATTAGCAATTTATCCACTAATGAGAAAAATGTTCATGAAAGTTGTGGAAAAGTATTTTTTTGATCAAAAAATGTTTTTTTGCAAATGTGCAAAAGGCATCCTTCAGAAGAGGTATCATATGAAATCAAGGGTAATTTGAAAATTGCTTTAAAAACAAATAGATTGGTGTGATATAAAATATGAAAACTAATATTTAAAAAAGCTCATACAGTAACACATGTCCAGTTTTGTTTTACTTGGGTGGGTTGTAAGGGGCATGCTATACTAATTAATGAATCAAATGTAATTGATTAGCAAATACCAAATTGTATTCTAAGGTATGGCCTCTGTAACTCAGCTGTAGTTAATGGAATGTTGTGTTTTCTGTATAAATTCAAGTTTTAGAATCAAGCTGTGGTGCATGAGGTACTATTAAATAAATAAATATATATATATATATATACACACACACACACACACACACACACACACACACACACACACACACACACACACACACACACATATTAGTTTCAAACACCCATTAAATGTGCACAGTATGTGATCTGAAATGTTTGAGGGTTATGTAATGTACCATATCAGCTTGTTAGCTTAAGAAGCTAGAAATGGATCCATGGCAAAATGATCTAATGATAGTAAAATTTGGTTCCATTTTCAATTTTTTTTCATGGGTCTTTTAAAACTTCATTCTTTTAGGTAAATTTAGTGCAGTAAAGGAGTTTGTCAGTTCTGCTGAACATGAAGGTTGAAGCCCAAGAATTGGCTGTTCACTAGCTGCCTTCCCTCTAGTCTCATCAGTTCAAAAGCTAGTGCTGATAGCCCTTATGTAGCTTTCCCCAAATATCAGAAACAAACACTTTACATGTGATTGATCTGTAATCAAAGAAAATCAGTATTCTTTTTTATTATGATTTTCTGTACTCAGAAAATATTAACAGAACTTTCTGATTGTGTAGGGAAGAAGGAGAAGAAGGTAATAAAAAACAAGAAACTGAACCTAGTATGACCCCAGAGGAGCTGGAGGAACAAGAGAAGAAAACAGCTAAAGAAGAGGCACGTCGACGAGAAGAATTTCAAAGAAAAGAAAAGGAGCTGATGTCGTTTATTCATCAATTACAAGGAACTAGTAATTTGATTCACTTAGGTCGAGATCGTGCATATAGAAGGTTTTGGTGTTTCAGTACCATTCCAGGACTGTTTGTGGAAGATAATGACATGCATCTTGGGATCTGCCAAGCTCAACCAACCCAGTATAATCCTCTAATCTCTGAAGAGGAACTGTCTCTTTCTTTTATGAAAAACTTTCTTCAAAGAAAAAATGATGAGAAGAGCACAAGCAGTGATAAAGAAAACGAAGCTTCAGAAACACTTAAAATTCAATCAACTGATGGTTTAGTAAAGACAAATAAATTATTAGGGGATTCTAATTTAAGGGTAGGAAGTCCAAAAAAACAGCTCGCAAACTGTGAAGTGAGAACTTCTGACACAGAAGCAAAAAAAGTAAGTCTGCGGAAAGGTGCAAATAATGTGTTATCTGAATCATTAAATATTGTCTCAGGTTCAGTGTTTGGTATGTGTACTGCCTGTCCTGATACTTGTTCAATACATAATTTAAATTTACCTCGAACTATGTGGTCATTTTACACAAAACCTGAAGACCTGGATATGTTAATTACCAGTCTGAATCCTCGTGGTTTTAGGGAAGGGGCTTTACGAGAATCATTAAAGACTGACAAAGTGAAGTTAGCTGAATATATTAGTAAATGTCCAAGTCACAAACTTAACAAAGACATTTTACCTCCAACTCAACCAGAAGTTCGAAAGTCTTCAAGACTGCAGAGTAATAAACCATCACCTTATGCAGATATGTTGCCAGAAGATGCCTTAGAACTCACTTTGCGAGATATGCTTCTAGAGATGGAAGAAAAACTATTTGCTGGAAGTATGGGCAGTATTAAGGTAAGAAAAAGCATTATGTAGAAAATAAAATTTAGTTCAATTACTTCGATGTAATAAGGTTGTATTAATAAATCCTTAGAAATTGCATTATGGAACATCATTCTTGCAATAATAGTAATTACTGTATCTGTTGGCTAGCACAATGAGCAGTAGTCCCAAAACCTGCTTGTAAAGTACTTATGTCATTGAATTAATATACGTCATCTAATCTGTTCTTATGCTGTTTGTTAGAATAGGCTATGTAGTTGCTCTTAAACTGTAGTTAATGTGTTAGCTGCTATAGATCATCTAATCTGGTTTCAAACTGTAATAAACTCTCCACATAAAGGCTTGGACATTTTGACCAACCTTGTAACTATCAAAGTATACATTTTATAACGTTTAATTCAGTAACTGTATATTCAAAACATTTGACAGACTTTAAGTAAACATTACAAACCTTTTGAATGCAAAAAAATCTTTAGCTTTTCCCTTTAGCAAGGGTTGCTTCCCACATGTTGCCCTCCTCCAATCATCTCTGTTCATTGCCAGGTCTTCTGCAATTCCTTTCTTGTTCATGTCTTCTTTAATCCCATCCAATGCTGTACTGGTCTTTTCTTGCTGACTACTGGTAGATCTAATGCTTTCTTTATTACTTCTCATGTGACCAAGCTGCCCGAGTCTTGCTTTTCAAACTTTTTTGTCAATTTCACAAACTCCTACCATTTCCTTATTCATTCTATTCTCTTTCATGAACACTCTCAACAGCTGTTTCAGCATTCTTGTTTCTCTTCTTATCAACAAGCCTTCTTTCTTCTTCAAGGTCCAGGTCTTGGCTCCATAGAGGAACACCAGTCTAACAACAGTTTTATACACTTTGGCTTTTAGTGCCCTTTTGCAACAGATGACTATGAATACTTCCTTCCAACTTTCCTGTATTCTGTCTCTCACAGCTTTCTCATTTCCTCTTTGATTTTGGATTGTACTTCCCAAATATCTAGTCTTCTACCTGTTCCATTGGCTTCCCCTTTACATCTGTATCTTGACCTTCTTCTTTCTACTCCTGCTCACCCTGACTTTTGTTTTTCTGGCATTCTCTTTCAAGCATTTTCTTTCTAAATTCTTATGCCATATCTTAACTTGCATTTGTAACTTGTTTTCATTTTCAGCTGTCAGGACAACATTGTCTGCAAATAATAGCTCCCACAGTGATCCCTTACTCAATACATTGATAATAGTGAAGAACAGCAGAAAGTTAATGGTTTACCCTTGTCTGCTTCTCCATATTCCTTCTTTGTGATTGTTGTTGCTCCATCATAATGGCTCTCACTAGTTGGATCAGCCTTTTGGTCACTTCTCTCTTTCAAAAGCACCAGTAAACTAATTCTTGTAACACTTTGTCATATGTTTTCTCCAAATTTACAAATGCATGGTATAAATTCTCGTTTCCTTAAAGATACTTCTATTGCAGAATCAAGACTATTGTTCCTCTCCGAGGCCAAAACCTGAACTTTATTTTGTCAATATCTTTGACTTCCTTATTCTATTTTCCAGTACCTTTTCTTTCACTTTCAGCAGATGTTCATCAGTTTCATTTTTCACACTCAAGAGCATCTCCTTTCTGCTTGTAGATGGGTATCAGTAGGCTCTCTCTCCATTCTGCTGGTATCCACTCTTCCCTCTATTTTCTTCAACAGTTGTAGGCAAAAAATTGCTACTAATTTATTTTATTGCTTTATAGCTGTACTTTAGACCCTTCAGGGTATGGAGAAGGCTATCACAATGGGACAATTTTGTGTAAAAAAAACAATCAAATTACTAACATGTTCATCGAATTACACAATCACATGCACAATTTATGCATGAGTATTTGCTTTATCTAATTTTATTTTGTTTAAGGTTTTTATTTAACCTAATAAGTTTCTAATTTTACAACTTGGTAATGTTTATAACAATAAATAACAAATATACATTTAAAAAAAATTGATACTTACTTCTGGACTCCTGTTTTTTTGCTTTTGGGTCCCCGAAGAAACTTAATCCTACTTTTTTTTCTTGTACTGGTAATAGTACATAGAATAGTTCTTATTTGTTTCAAATATGCAATAAAAAAATACAAATTATAATTGAACTGCCTTTCTTACTAACATATAAGCTGATTTAAATAATGTTTTCTGGTGATCTCTGCAACAGCAACAATGAAACCTATTGGTTATAAGTAATTTAATAGCAAATGTCCGAGAGAATTATTGATATTTTTTGGAAAACAGAATGTGATAGAGGTGTGGCATGTGGGTTTGACTTTCTTGATAAAATTTATGTTGTAACTTAGAAATATCCATATTGTGTGTAATTTGTGTCAAACTCAAGATCATAAAGGGGTAGAAAGAAAATCTTAAAATCAGCAATTCAGAGTGAAGAAATGTAAAATGATACAGAGAGGAAGGTGAAGAATAAGAATTTATTTGAATATTTTCTTTTGAAGTTAAGAAGTTAAAACTTGTACTAAATTTTGAATTATAAATACATTTTGATGTCAAGTTTATTGAAATACATTGATGATAAGGGTCTTTAATTAAATTTTAAACATAACATTGATGCTATATTAGAGGTTTAATGTGTTAGTTATTATAGGTCATCTAATTTGCTCTTAAGCTGATAATGGATAAGCTGTTTTATATATCATTTGGAAGAAAATCATTTTATGACAGTGTTTGTCATTATGATGAAGCTTGTGTCTAAGTACACAAGATAATGTGATTATAAAAATTGAAGTAATCTTTTAAATGTGGTTATTTTCAAACAATAATAGAAAAGGAGGCAGATGAGGAATATTCTTGTGTACAATTGGAGTCAAAGTGCACATGCACAACCTATTACATAGTGCCATTTAAATGGTGTTATCTATTTGATGTCAGAGTTGTCAACCATACAGTTTACTCTGAATTGCTAATTTAGCAACAGTTTGTGGTAAAGGAGAGTAAATACCAGATAGGATGTACAGGGATTAGAAAAAAAACAACTTACATATGCATTTCAAGGTATTAGAGGTTATGAAAATGCAGTATACAAACTTTTATGATGGACAAAAGTTTTTGTTCTTCACCTGAACATATCTTGCAATATGACATGTCAGTGTCTGAATTAGATGTTATTAATTCACATAAATATCTAAATACAGATATTTGTAAGACAATTCAATTCTATTGTACACAAAAAAGCAAATGTATAGTTTACTAAAAGCTTGCTACATTTCATATAGATGCATAATATTAAATTCGGAATTATAGTCAGCATTCTTTCTTTAATACGGGGTCTTTCCATTGGACTACGACCATGTGCACAATCAATTATTAAGCTGGTCGTCTAATTGTACATTATTATACACAGTTTGTTTTTAGCCTGCCCATACAAAACTACAGTTTATATTTAAATAAAACTGTGAACTTGTTTCTATATTCATATTACCCACAGAGAATAGTGGAGTAGGGCATTTAATCCAAAAAAAGTTAAATGCAAAATGGGAAATGTCAGTATCCACAGGAAGAATGTGTTGCATTAGCATAGCCCAGTGGCGTAGCAAGGGTTCTCAGCACCCGGGGGCAAAGACACTTTTGGCACCCCCACCTCTGAAATATTTTGATTATTTGTTTTGTGACTCATTATCCACTAAATGACAATTACATAAAGAATTAATTATTGCCTTACACAGGCCTAAAATAAAGTCACAATATAACATCTCACGATGTCACAACTGTAAACATGGAACTAATGAAGTATAGCCTACTAGGTGTACTTACATAATTTGTAAACCATTTTGATATTTGTCATCCAGTATTGTTCAAAGTCACATAGCTTGAGTAATCTTTCAAGCATGCAGAATAAATTTCTGTTATATCCCTAGTTTTATATGAGAAGCCAGTCATTTGTGGTTATAAAACAGATTGATAAAATACTACTTAAGTTTACAAATAACAAATTTTATTAGTTTACGAAATTGTACATACACTTAACTAGATCTTGTACAGGTAGCATTCTGGTATTCATGGTTACATTATATGAACCTTTTGTGCTTTTGCTGCTGCAAATGCATCAATTAAACTATCATAATTTAAGGTATTAAGTATGTCTTTTTCAATATTTAATATTGCCAAGTTTCTAAGTTGTTCTTGAGTTATTGAGGTTCTCAAGTGTGTAAGAATTAATTTCAGCTTACTGAAGGACCTTTCACAACTAGAAATAGAAACCCCAATTGTTAACAAAATCTGCAATGCAATTCTTAAATTTGGGAAAACATCTTCATCATATGAAATTATAAATGTTAGCAAATCGGTTACAACCATTTTTTCAGGAAAATCGGTCTGTGTTCTTTTACTTATCAACATTCTACAGTCTTTAATTTCTCTGTACAATTCTGGTCCATCAATATCACCTGGATAGCTCTTTGCTAAGTCAGAACATTTTTCTTGCAATTTTTCGTCCTCGGAAATCTCCAGAAACAATATTTTGCACATCTAGTAGAAATCCAAACTGTGAATCTAAAGCTAGTAAGCGAGAAAATCTTCCTGTTATTTCAGTAATCAAGCGATCAATAACATACTTCATGATGCAATAAATTTCCTGTTCAGCAGTCAATCCAGCATCAGCTGCATTTTCACTTGGCATTCGTTTACAACTATATCTTTCGTTTCACATTGATTATTGCCCTACTTTTAAGTGCTTTCTTGACAGGGCTTTTCCCGTGATTCTATCCATTTCTCTTTCAAAGAATCAAGATCAGCAGCTG